GGGGGAGGCCGTGCTGGCCCGTGCCCAGCAGTGCCAGGGCTGGGGTTCAGGGCACACGGGGTGGGGTGACGGCTGCAGCTCCTGGTTATTTATTTACAGTGGGAGGGAGCGGAGAGTGAACCGGGCTGCTGTCCCGGTGCTTGGGGGCAACTGGGCAGGCTCCTGGCAGCAAATCGTCCCGGCACTGAGAGGCACCGAGCGGGTGAAGATGCCGAGTGGGAACGTGTTGGTGTTGGTGTTGGCACCGTTGCTGTGCCTGCCCCTGCCCGGTGACGGGCAGAACCACCGGGAGGAGGCTGAACGCATCATGGCCACCACGCCGGTCATCGATGGGTGAGCAAAGGTTGCCTGGACCCACAGCACTGCTGGTAACGCCGGCAGGGACACGGCACTCAGAGGAAAACTCCAACAAAAAACCCCATCAGGGACAGATCTCCCAGGGGATCCCCAAGCCGGGCACCCCAGGGACGTGTATTGGAGGGGATCCCCGGGAGCAGGCAGAGTGCTGGGAAGCCAGGAGCCAGGCTGTCCCAGGGGAAGTCCTTGCTCAGGGACAACAGCTCCCCCAAGATCGTGTCCTAAGGGACATCCTTGAGCTGGTAATGGGACCCTCGTGTGGTTCTGGCCCTCCAGCGGGTCCCCCGTGTCCCCACGGGCACTATCCCTGTGCCATAGCAGCCCCTGGAAGTGGGTGTGGGGAAGGGGGAGCTGGAGGATGTGGGGACACCGACGCAGGAGCAGAGAAGTAGGAGCTGAGCAGCAGCACTTCCACAGCAATGCTGCTGGTGTGGGACATGGCACAGCGGTGACATCCTCGTGGTCGTGACCTTCCCACACTGGTGATGGTGACATCCCTGTTGGAGGGCTGAGCGGGGATAGTGGTGGTGTGATGCACAGAGGTGGTGGTGTGGTGCCCAGCCTCCCCCCAGCTCCCTGCTGGCCAACGAAAGGGGTCCTAGGTGGGTCTGTCCCCTGGGAGGGACCTGTTCACGGCTCCTGGCCAGAGCCACTTGGGTGGCTCTTTCCAGAGGGCACAGATGGGTGGGCAGATGGACCAGGGGTTGGGTGGGTGGATGATGGATGGATGGGGAACAGGTGGGCAGACAGACAGGAGGGGGCAGGACAGGCATCCCCTCACTCTTCCTCCCTCCCTGTTCCAGGCACAATGACCTGCCCTGGCAGCTCCTCAAAAGGTTCAACAACCAGCTGAGGCTGCCGGAGGCCAACCTGACCCTGCTGGACGGCACCCACACCAACATCCCCAAGCTGCGCCGCGGGCATGTGGGCGGGCAGGTGGGACAGCGGGGAGGTCGCTGGGCTGGACAAGGGGCACCAGGGCGGGTGGCAGTGGGCCCAGGTCCGTGCCCTGGTGCTGATGGTGTGGCACCACGGGCAGTTCTGGTCGGTGTACGTGCCCTGCGAGACGCAGAACAAGGACGCGGTGAGGCGCACGCTGGAGCAGATCGACGTGGTGCAGCGCATGTGCCAGCTCTACCCCGAGACCTTCGCCTGCGTCGTCGACAGCACCGGTGAGCGGGAACCTGGGGGATGGGGAGGAGCTCCCAGGGGACAGGGGTTCCCACGTCGACTGATGCCCCCTGCCCCCCCGCAGGCATCCGCCAGGCATTCCAGAGCAAGAAGGTGGCCAGTCTCCTCGGGGTGGAGGGCGGGCACTCCATCGACAGCAGCCTGGGCGTCCTGCGCACCTTCTACCGCCTGGGCGTGCGCTACATGACCCTCACCCACAGCTGCAACACCCCCTGGTAGCAGCCCCTGGTGGGGGTGGGGGTGACAGAGCCAGCACTGGGGGGCCAGGGCTTGTGGCCAAGCAGGGGCCGGGGGCTGGGGGCCACCCTGATGCTCCCCCTGCTCCTCAGGGCTGACAACTGGCTGGTGGACACTGGGGAAGAGCCAGTCCTGCACCACGGCCTCTCGCCCTTTGGGAAGGTGAGGGGGGACTGGGGCGGTGGTGGCACTTGGGAGAAATGGCTGGGGTGGCAGGGAGTTGGGACCAGCACTAGCCATGCTGGGCTGTTCACCCAAGCACCAGGTGCACTGAGTGTGCGGGGTCCCCCTGTGTGGGGCTGCCATGGTCCTTTGTGTACCCCTGTCCTCCTTCCCTGTCCCCAACCCCATCCCCTCCCCATCCCTGTGCCTGTCCCCATCTTCATCCCTGCAGACGGTGCTGGAGGAGATGAACCGCCTGGGTATGATCGTGGACCTGGCCCATGTCTCAGTGCAGACCATGAAGATGGTGCTGACCCTCTCCAAAGCCCCCGTCATCTTCAGCCACTCCTCCGCCTACAGCCTCTGCCCGCACCGCCGCACCGTGCCCGACGACCTG